GTATACAGGAATTTACTTCTAGGCTCTTTATATTCTTTTCCATTGGTCTATGTGTCTATTTTTATTCCAGTACCATGCTGTTTTGATTACTATAGCTTTGCATTACAGTTTGAATAAGGAAGTGTGATGCCTCTGGCTTAGTTGCTTCTCAGAATTGCTTTGGCTCCTCAGGGTCATTTATGGTTCCATAAATATTTTAGGATTCTTGTTTCTACTTCTGTGAAAAATGCCACTGCAATTTTTACAGGAATTGCATTGAATCTATAGATGGCTTTGGGTAGAATGGACGTTTTAATATTAATTCTTCTGACTCATGAGCACAGGATACTTTTCCATTTGTTTGTTTTCTTCAATTTCTTTTGTCAAAATCTTGTAGTTTTCATTGCTTGGATCTTTTCCTTCCTTGGTTAAATGTATTCCTGAGTATTTTCTTGTTCTTGATGCTATTGTGAATGGGTGTGGTTTCTTTTTCAGGTATTTCATTGTTACTGTATAGAAACTCAACTGATTTCTGAACACTGATTCTGTATCCTGCAACTTTATTGAATTTGTTGACTAGTTCCAACCATGTTTTGGTGTCGTCTCTAGGATTTTCTATATATAAGATCATGTCATCTGCAAATAAAGACAACTCCACTTCTTCCTTTCTGATTGGATGTCTTTCATTTTTGCCTGACTGCATTACCTGGGACTTCCAATACTATGCTGACTAGGAGTGTTGAGCGTGGGCATCGTGTCTTGTTCCTGATTTTAGGGGAAACGCTTTCAACCCTTCACCATTGAGTATGATGTCATCTGTGGGTTTGTCATCTATGGCCTTCATTATGTTGAGGTGTGTATGTTTCTTTCAGACCCAATTTGTTTTTTTAAATCATGAAAGGATGTTCCCCTTGAAAGAGGGTTCCCATCCTTGGAAAACATCATGGTTCTGGTGGAGTCCGGGAAGCTCTCCCTCACCCTAGGTATTCCTGGTTGCCCTCTGGGGGGTGAGGCAATCCTATAGGGATACCCACCACATCTGGTTCATGTGGAGACATGCACATAAAGGCTGGTTTCCCTAGAAGTCTGTTCAGACTCTATGGATCTCAAAAAACACACACACACACACTAAAATTAACATGGGAAATCATGCCTTCAAGGCCAACAAGCCCCATGACAGTCAACCTTCCATTAATTCTAAAGTGACTTCTAGATTAATCTTTTTGTACGCACCATAAAAACTATAAAATTAGGAAAACATATTTAATTGGTCTCTCGAAGCATTAAAAGAAATATTTAGATGAATAGATCAACCAATGATGTTGTTAGGTGTCAACTCAATTCTTTGAGGTATTAAAAATGGCTGTCCTTATGTTAAAAGGGGATGATCATTTGGAACTTGACTTGTCAAGGAAAAATATAAGTTGTAAATGCCTCCAATACAAAAAGTGGATCCAACTGTTCTTTCATAAACTAATGTTAGTTTTTCTCATGGATAAAAGATATGTTTCTCTTTGTTTGTCTGTATGTGCCTACGTATGCATGTTGTAAATGTAAGGTAATGTTCAACTTCTGCTGCTATTGTTAAAATTAATGGGAAGGCCAGCACTGGTAAGAATTGGGTATTCTAAAATTCTCAGAAATATAGAAACTAACTCAAATGCTTTTCAAGTTCACAACTTTAGATTGATCCTTACTAAATAAAAGCTATTTTAAATTTGTTGGTTCAAGAACAGACATGTCTTTTGAATCGTTAATAAAATATTTATATTTTACCTGAGTTTATAAAAATAAGTCCATGTCAATAACTGACTCTGATGTCAATGGAATATGCTTCTAGAGGTTATAAAATATCTTCACAAATTTGCCAAGCTAAAGAATGCTAGTTGTTTACTTCTTAGTTTTCATTGGACATTGAGATTTTAAAGGTTAAAATCTCAATATATGTAGCAATAACTTTGCAGCTAGAAGAGCCCCTGGAATACCTCCAAGTTTTGTTTTTATATTAAATTACATGGAAATCATAGTACAATAAGTGATAGAAAACTACCAGGGTATGTTGTATGGGTGAATAATGGTTGTCAATTAAATGAATAGTCAGGGTTATTGGAAACCCAAAATAGCTGCTTGGTCCTTCCCAGGCTCGCTGGCAAACCCCATTTTCTTTTAAGATGGACTTGGGTGAAGTAACTTATGAGTTGGCATTATTCAAAGGAGCCATCTTAGCTATTACCAAGGTTTGATAAAGTCACTTCAAGAAAATGTCAAATGGGTAGCCACTTCCTTTCACAGTGAACTCCCAGGAGACACAGACTTAGAGTTCACTGATTGCTACCTGGAGATTTTGTTTATTGGAAAGGACAAATATGAAAAACACTCTGCAACTTCATTGGAAGGGGCTTATCAGGTGCCTAACTGCGAATGAATATCTAGCCTTGTCTCTGCTATGTGCCTCCACCTACAACAGCCATCCAAGACTCCTTGAGGATGAGAAGCTGCCAACATCAGAGTTAGACAGCTGTCCCAAGACATCGACAAGGCCTGTATACCTACAGATTGATGTTTAACACAGAAAACAATTGATTATCTTTACCAGTTTGCTAAGAACATTAGTCCTAATAATAGTTATACTTGTTTTGGAGGTTTTTCATTAGAGTTCAACTGTTCCTGATGACTGAACATGTATAAAATAACTTAAAACTCTCTTTCATGGCTTACATAAATGTCATACCAGGTACCAAATACAGAAAAAAAATGAGACAGAAGACAAAACTCAAATCATGACAGTTCACAGGACAGAAATGATCCAATGGTCTTCAGAGTGAAAGCCATAGGACCCAAAAGCCTTCCATTTACCTGCCCTTCCCTTTTGGGGAAAACTTCAGCCTCACATCTCATGGTTATAGCATTGCCCCATCCCCAGTGGTCCACCATTTCAACAAGACAACATTAATACTGAGACTTCCCAGAACTGAGCCTTCCTAGCCCTGTGAGACCACCTTGTCCAACTTAAGGTTGGTCATCCATGCATCCTTCAGATTGATTTATGATCGAAAGGGGGAATTGTGTAAGATAAAGGGGTTCTACAGAAAGCATCCTCACACAGTGATCTGACCATAAATTCCTAACTGGGTAGGTCATGGTGGGCAGTAACACTGTAGGCCTCTAACTTCTTTTTTCTTTTTTATTAAATGTCTTGGGGTGACATTAGTTAATAATGGTTTCAAGTATACAACTCAATAACTCATCATCTGCCCATTGCACTGTGCACTCATCACCCCAAGTCAAATCTCTTTCCGCCATCATTTATCCCCCCTCTGCCCTCTTCTTTAGTGAAAGGTTTTAAGCCAGCCCTGTTCATTGTTCTTGTGCATCTACCTTAGCACACCTTCGAAATAACAAAAGTAATTACCGCCCTCAAAAGAGTACATAATCTTATTAACTATTCTGTAATCCGATCCCCGCCTTGCTTTCTCTAATCTTCCCTGGGTTCCCTCCTTAATTTCAAATGCATAAAAGAAGCTGCAAAACGATTATCTCAGGAGTGTTTGCGATCTTGCTTCCCAGCAGCTGTCATCAGTTTCGCTCAAATAAACTCTTATTAAAAATTCTCTACAGGTTTGGACGTTTCTTACATCGACAGCTTCTTCAACTAAAGAGATATTTAGTGTGTTCATAGTATGAGTGTTCTAGGAAGAGGATTAAGGTACACTGCAAAATGTCTATGATACTCAAGGATGAGCTGAGAAGTGGAAAGTTTCCGCAAAGATTTTGCCTAACTAGTTTAACTACCTTATCTATTTTTAAACTTAATTTCTAATTATTTGGGTGACAGCTATTGCTGATGCGTTAGGAAACGAAAATATTTTTCTTACATATACCAAAAGAGCCAGCTGCAACCACGAATCCTTGTGTTAACACATGCAGCCTAACCACCTTTCATCATCATTACATGAAATAGGAAACATAATCATCTCAGTGAAAAATGTTTATAAATGCACGTATGGATGTTGCTCATGCGGATTTTAATAACATGGTAATGCCTACTTACAAGGCAAGGAGAGAAGGCAAGTTTCAGTCAAGAATCATTAAGACCCATGAAAAAAAAAACAAGTAATGGAATTGTTCTTCGTGACTTATTACTAAACAAGATCCATAGCAAATTAAATACGTAAGGTAGGCAAACAGAGAAGCACACAGATCCATCTCCTCGACCATCACATTAGCCACAGGGCATGTCCTTATTACTAAATTTCAGAGACACCCGTTGAGACAAGCGTGGTAGGTAGGAAATTACAGGAAGCTAATGTAATTCTGAAGTCATAAAATATTCCATAATGGAAGGTGTTGCAAGGTAATTTTGGCACGGGCAACATTTGCTTTTATAATATGATCGTATGTTAAGGTGATTTTAAAAATCAATTTAAAAATTCATAAGACGATTTTACTCTCCTGTTACTATATGGGTTTATTATACAATCTTTCATGCGGGGATTATTTCAAGGGAGTTTATTCCCAGACAAGTGGTCTTTCAGGTCACTAAGACTCCAAAGACAGAACAAAACCCATCTTCCAAATAGACCATGCCCAACATCACCCCCACGGGGAGGCCACAGAATCCTCGCATGTCCTGCAGACCAGGCAGCTTTGACGCGTGCACCTCACCCCACACAAGAAACATTTCGTAATGAGTGTCCTGATCATTTGGTGCCCCTGTGAAGAGCGACCAGCAGAAGCTGTGGTCCAATTCTAAAAATAAGGCACCAAAAATATGCTCCTGGAAAATCCCTTCTGCCATCTCTTCATCTTAAATCAAATTCCATGCCCCCCAAACACAGTGAAGTTACCCCAAACTCCATTTCTTTATCAAAAGGAATCGTGCCAATGGAAAGAAATGACATGTTACTGAAAGAATTGTTTCATTAAAATGACAAATGCAGTGTTCATGCCTAGAACTCTCTCACTTGTGGCTAGAACAAAAGCGGGGGAAAGCACACTGGTGCGGCTATTTGGACACCAACCTGGTATAGGCTGAGGTGCTAACACCACTGTGGGAAGAGGCCTGGAGGCAGGTGCTGGCCTGGACAGAGACACAGCTACTTGATTTGCCAATAAATGAGGCTTTTCATACCCATGGAACAATCTTGATTCCTCAGGATATATCCACGTTGAGTCCAGAGCAAAGGAATTATTTAAAAAGATCTGTCCAAAAAAGAAAGCAAGTGTAACATTTCAGACCATGCACATGAGAAAGACTAAAGGCTACTGTAAAATATTTGTCTTGTCTTACATTGATCAAATATTGGAGAGTCTATAAGTGAGGACTCTATAAAAGCATCCTTCTCCAACCTAAAGATCCACGGGGCTCCAATAACAGTCACCGTGAAGTTACCATGGTCTGCGCTGGTCTGCAACTATTGACTTCATTAATTCAGCACAGCAGCCCGTTTACAGACTAAAGAACCGTCGCAAGGAGGTCCGTTGTGTGGCATAGACAAGTCACCACATAATTTTTCTTTTCTTTTTTTAGTTTTGAAACAAAGTGTAATTAGTACATTTGAATTCAAACGCCAAAATAGACCACCAGAAGGAGGAATACTTAAAGCAATCATTGCAAGAAAAGCTCGCTTTTAAAATTTATACTTGGATTATATCATGTTTGAGGCCATCTGTTGACCCATTGTTACAGATTTGAAAACTGAACATTGTCAAGAGTAGATTCTGATTCACAATGGAAAATTCTATATTGTGCTATGGAATCCAAATATATCAAGCTAAAACAAAATACCCCCCCCCCCAATCTGCTGGTGTTTAACAGACTGATCTTATTCTGAAAAGATTCCTCTTTAGACCTAGAAGGTCAGTCTAGTGCAATTAGCAAAGAGAAAACACACTGTTTTCTGTTGTTATGGAAATACCCAACGACTTCATAGCTGACTCCCACTTATCCAATGAAACTATTTGCATTTTTACCTTACAATTGGGTATCCGTTTGTCTATCCAACCTTTCCCAATAGGAGGGGGGAGAGCAGATGGGCAGACATGTGGGAAGATGGGCACCAGCTCCACAGTGGAAGAGGGGGACAGCCCTATTGATGGAGAAGGGCCACCGAATAGCCACTGAAACCCAAGAAGAGAGAAGGGAATGCTTGTTAGCCCGTAGCAATCAACTCTAGTTTGTCCCATAAGCTACTGGGGCAGCTGCTTTTTAATTTTTTTAAAGGGAATTTTAAAATATATGTATTTAATTAGGAGAAAAACCTCCTCTTTCCCCAGTTTAAAAAAATAACACCCACACATTTTAAAAATGTATAAGGTTTCCCATCAGAACCATCACAAAGCATTACCCACACTGCACTCTTCAATACTGAGAAAGAACTTCTAAGCACAAAACCACGAGAACCCGGTAAGAAGTGGGTTTCTGCCTGAGGTAGAAGGAACCACCATGGAGAGGGGAGATGCTGGGTATTCCCTGTATGACTCGTGAATTCTGTTCATAAGCAAGCAGAGAGCTGCATGTCAGGAGAGTCCTTTCAGTATAGCATTTTGTATGAATTATACTTACCTTTTTAAAAGACAAACACAAATAATATTTTCAAAATAAAACTCATTTGGGGGTTAAGATTGAAAGTTGCCCCTGGCTCACAAGTGCACACAGATTCCAAGGCAAAGGAGATGTGAGGGCAGCTCATCAATAACCGAAGATCCCAAAGCACAGAGTCCACGAGCGAACACTGAGAGGGGCAGGCCGTCTGGGACACAGTCTCCCTCGTTAAAATAACTGAATCTCCACGAGCAGAGAACTGACAGAATCGTGGCTCAGTGATACGGAATGCTTCCACATCGACTTCTTTTAAGATCAGAGAAGCATTTTTTAATTTTCCTGTTATGTGAAAATGTCCTTCTGGTTCTAAATATTGTCACTGAACAGAAAACATGGAGCACAAAAATATTTAAAAGAAGAAGAATAAGATTTTTAAAAATATATTTTTAAATATACACCCCCCCAAAAATGCAGTGTTCTATATAGGGGGGAGAAAAAATGTAGTTCCTGGGCATTATATACCTCTAGTGGTAGCACTCTGATATAGCAACCCCCTGAAAATGCCCAAAAAGCTACCAACGTTTATTCAATAAAACCCAATATGAACTGCATCGCACATCAAAATAGATATCTAGGACTGCATATGTGATGTATCATTAGGTCTAAAGATCAGCGTGGGCGGAGTTTAACAACATCTTTAAGGAAAGCTCACAAGATAATATAGGAATAAAATTAATTAAATGGTGGATTCTAACATACCGCTTATTTGAATATGCTAAGGAAGGCTATCCTTGGAATGAAATGCGTTTTCCCCTGATTTAAATGCATCTGCATAGTTAGATAGCAAACAATGGATCTTGCCAAAACCAGCCTGCCTTGCACGGTTGCACCATTAATCAAAGGTAGAGTCACTTTTCCTTTTTGATTCCAGGCTTTAAATGCCAAAGTATTCCAAAGTGCAGTATGGCACTAGCTAGCTAATGAGGCGGGCTCGGGTGGACCTAGTTTGGGGGTGGGGGTGTCGGTTTATCACCGGTAACGTTTCTCGGTATTAAAGGCAGGGTTTCCCTGCAGCTTCCATTGGTTTGAATTCTCTTAAGCATTGTCCTGAGTCTATTTTCACATAGAAAAAAAAAAAAACAAACCCAACCAGATCAGCATCAGAAATAGCTATTGATTCCCAGCCTGCTTTTCAAGTCTGGCAGAGACTGTAAAAGTATTAACTTCTCTGCGATAAGCCGGCCACGCTGCGCAGCTGCCACGCCGGCTCCCGCGGCGGCGACTTCAGCACCGCTCTCTGGACAGCGACCCCGGCCCCGCGAAAGTTGTGGCCACCTCGGTCCCAGCTCGGGCCTTGGGGTGCTGGTCCCTAAAATGCTTGGCTGGGAGACCGCGGGAAAGACTGAAAGACGGAAGACTGCCGGGGGAAGAAGGGGGGCGGCAAGGCATGAATTTTGTGGCCATGCACGGGGGCCGGGCTTGTGGCTGTTGGTTTGGGAGCTTGGCCACAAAGGGGGGAAAAAGACGAGGGTAGGGGTGGGTCCCGGTGGGTCAAATGGGAGCGGTGCCTGGTTGGGGCG